ATTCTATGGCTTTCCATAGCATTTCTAGCATTATATTCACTGGCAATACTAACATTTTATTACATATATTTAACTTTAGAGTTAAGTCAAGGAATGCTAAATATTAAAAACATTCTTAATTAGTTCAGTATTTTTGCATTCAAAATATTTGAATTTTATTTTTTCAGTTGTTTATAAACATAAATAGGGAAGCTACCATCCTTAATTCAGCAAGATGAACTTTTATTTTATGGAAGAACTGTGGAATAATTCTGATGAATAAATCAAACATTTCCATAATTTGTTTCTTTGAAATTGTTATTGTTTTTTCTCCTCTTCCTTTGGCATAGATTTGTTTAACCCCTCTCTCAAGGGCAATTACAGTAACAAAGATTTGCAACAGTTACTGGTGAATTGGAACTGCTCAATGGGAAGGGATAAGTCAGAATGAATTAAAATGATTTCACAGAGCACACAGAAAGCCTTTGTCTCCTAAAGAATGACTGTGCCTGAATGGAGAATATTTGTCTACTTAAAAAAAAATCCCTTCACATTTAGCAGTCTTTAGTACTGTTGTGCAGCTCACTTACATTCTTTCTGACTGAAAGTGGGGTACAAAAGTGCATAATTTCAATTCATAATATTAGGAGAGCCTGCTGTAGCTCAAAGCTTCTCAACATTTTATTAGTAAATTTGTATTTTCAGGCTTTTTAACTCACATTCATTCTAGGTCAAAATATAGTGCACACTTTCTGTTGGCCTACATAAAGGATTTTCTTTTTCTTTCTTAAAAATGATTTGTGGTAGGGTAATGCATAAAATTGGAGTTGAAGTTCAATTTTTGGATCCTTCTGGAACTAACAAATTCTGAAGCTCTGTCTACTCAGCCCATGAAGGAGAGAGGGTACCTTGTAATTTGGCTCTGATAACCCCCTTTGACATGTGTAGCCACCTTGATTGTTGAAAGTCTCACAATAATATTAGGAGAGCCTGCTGTAGCTCAAAGCTTCTCAACATTTTATTAGTAAATTTGTATTTTCAGGCTTTTTAACTCACATTCATTCTAGGTCGAAATATAGTGCACACTTTCTGTTGGCCTACATAAAGGATTTTCTTTTTCTTTCTTAAAAATGATTTGTGGTAGGGTAATGCATAAAATTGGAGTTGAAGTTCAATTTTTGGATCCTTCTGGAACTAACAAATTCTGAAGCTCTGTCTACTCAGCCCATGAAGGAGAGAGGGTACCTTGTAATTTGGCTCTGATAACCCCCTTTGACATGTGTAGCCACCTTGATTGTTGAAGGTCTCACAGCACACTTAGGTGGGTAGGAAGAAAATGGAGTATCTCAAAGAACTAACTCCATTTTTTGTCCACCTTGAAACAATATTGAGTGTAACAGTTCTGCCATAGAGCAAACAATGAGCAATTAATTAATATATAAATTAGTTAAGAGATAGTGTTCTGAAGAACTTCTTAAGGAAATAAATGTTAATTTTCATTTGAACATACAATATCCTAAGAAAGTTTAGTATTTCCAACTTTACCTATGTAGCTGTTGTACTCTATAGTAGACCTGAAGGACCGTGAAAGTTTTGAACACATCTAAATTATGTCTACTATTCACTAATACCCACTTCTTATATTTAAGTACTTAGGGAGAGATTTGCAAAGGTAATTAAGCACTTAAAGATGCAAAGAACCTAATAGTGGGATTTTCAAAAACACAGTAGGTACGTACTTATCTCCCATTGATAAGGCACTAACTATGCTTAAATTTCTGGGCTCTAGGAATTTCTGAGAATCCCACAAGCCACTGTCTGTGCATCATTGAACACTTAAATGCTGTTGAAATTAATGTGTCTTGTGCATGTATATTTGAAAGCAGAATTTAGTTTTAAAAAGGTTTTAGTGTATAATATTAAATAATATGCATGAGAACAAAAATAATCCCAATATGTGCGTGGACATACTTAATATTGAAAAAAATCCCCACATCGTTTATTATTATAACAAAGCACTGCCAGATAAACCAACAAAAGGCAGGAAATTCCTATTGCCTTTGTTCCTAAGTACTGAAATAATATTTGAGCAAGCTATTGTGTGCTGTTGTTTATTTTAAAGAATTAGAGATAGTAGAGATGAAAATAGTCTATTTAATCATTTAGTCCTTTCCCCCTTCAGGTACAAGATGATCCCTCAATGTTATCTAGTACTAGCAAACTTACCCAGTATTGCCTGGATCCTTCAGGGAAGATCCCCCCGCAGCCGCCAGGGGCCTGATCTCTCTCCCCACTCCCAAGCATCCCCCCCGCCCAGCTGCCAGGGGTCTATTTTATTCCCCTCCTTCCTGGCAATATGGCCAAAGGCCAGGAGCGGGGGAAAAGGGTAGCGGGTGCTGGTGTGATGACAGAGCCCCAGCCCTGCTGGCATCTCACTTGGTGGTGCGGCTGCCCCAGTGGTCACTCTGCAGGATAGCTCTCCCCTGTGGACTTGCTGCCCTCTGTGGCCACTCATATTGCATCCCTCTGAATAGCAGTCCCTCCCTTTGCATGTTATGGAAAATAGTCATTTTCCTTGGTCTTCTAGTTGTCCTGACACAACCAAATCCTGACCTTGCTTTTAAGTTAGGAGAAGAGGAAGCTACATACCAAATTTAGTGGCCCCTACTCTTACCATTTAGGAGGAGTTCTTGAACAAAGGGGCTTGCAGTCAGACAGACCCACTCTAAAACAGGGGTGGGGAGCCTTGTTTTGGATCGGGGGCCACTGACCCACAGAAAAATCCATCAGGGGCCACACATAGGAAGGAAGCACACAAAACTGCTCACTGACATCACTCTCAACTGAGGAAAAAGACATGCCCCACATTCCTCTTGCACACCAGAGCCTAGCATGGGCCGTGCCTAGTAGATTTTGTGTGCTCCAGCCCTGCGTTGGGGTGAGGAGGGAGGGAGGCTGGAGTACCAGTGCAGGCTCCCCAGTGCTTGGAAGGGGGGAGCATGAACCTTGAGGGATGAAACCAGATAAGTGGGGGTGAGGGGGGGTGCCTCTGGCTCTTGGGCCTGAGGTTCCCCACCCCTGCTCATATATATAAAATCTTCTATGGGTGACATTAAATGTTCCAGCAATGGGACTTCAACTACATCTCTTGCAGAAAACACTTACTGTCCAATTGGTTCTTTGTTAGGAAGTTTCCCTCAATATTTAGTCTACAATGCTCTTTGTAAAATGCCATCCAATTACACTGTTATCAGATATGTTGCAATATTTAGGTAAAATGTAAGATAAACCAGATAATTCGGCTTTTTTTCATTTAATTTTTTTTCTAGTTTTATCATCACAATTGTACATATTATTGATACCATAATTAATGCATTTACAACAACATAGAGTAAGTTTTATCTTACAATTTTATAAATGCATGCCTTAATTACAAAAGCAATGCATCCTGGTAAACCTTTATTTCCTAATCACGTATGCTGGATTCATACACTCCCTCTCGCTCATCCCCTTTTCTGCCACACTTCCAAATGTTAAATGATTCATTGCAATTATTTATATGAAGTGAAAAAATAAAGCAGCCCCATACAAATTAACTGCATCTGATGCTAGCACTTAGCTGACCCATTATGTTTTGCCAAAATAAAATATCCTCAGTACTTGGATTCTCTAAATGTTCTTTGTAGCTGTCTAACTGTATTTCAGTGAGATAAAACAATTATTTAAAAAAATCCTGAAATAGAAAAATGGTAATAGTTTTTGCTGTACAGTAGTTTTTTTACAGATTATGAACAGCAAACGGAAAAATGCTGGAGTTCTTTCTTCCTCTACAAAGAAGTAAATATACATGAAAATACTCTTTTTCTCATACTGTCTGATCTCTGAATTTTTAACTAACATGACTAGGACTGAAAGAAAGTAAAAAGGATTAGGCCATTTATTAATCCCTTAGGCAAAGTATAAAGCAATAGTGACATGGGATTTTATTTAGGTTTTATATATATATATATATATATATATGTGAAAGCACAGGCACAAAAGTTAACAAGCCATCTAAAAAATAACAACAAAGGGGGAAAAAACAAAAATGAAAACAAATAAGAAATCCAACAATATTTCGTGATAGAAATAAAATCTTTTCCCCTGTATGCAAATGAACAAGGGGAAAAATACATTTTCATGTATTTGTTTTTGGGTCAAACAATTAAAAGACTCGTGAATTGTTTAATGTATCTAAATAACAATTGTTTAACTGAATAGGAATATTTGTCTCTGTTCTGTCTTGCTTTTAGTCTTCTTAAAGACTTACAAACTTATCAATGCTTTGCTTTATTATTTGTAGCAATCTATTCATTGCAAGAGATTTTAAATTTATTTCTCATGTCAGAAAAAAGTATTATTATTATGATTATTTTATTTTACATTTTTCATTAAGGTCCTGTTGTCAGTAGATGTATTCTTTTGCATTTTTAAAATAATGTTTATATTTTTCTGATTGATCTGCTGTCCATATTTATTAGAAATTTAGTACTTATTTGTATTGATATTCTCTGTTTAACAGTATTATTTCCACTTACGAGTTACAATATTTGTGCACATACCTGCAAGTCTTAAGTTGGCCCTGACAAAGCCCAGTAAAGCCAAAAATATACTTTGTTGCTTTCTTTTCAGACCAGTAACAACAAATTCTCATTAATAGTAAAAATGTTTTCTTATGCATTCACTTCAGCTATTTTTTCCCTTCTACATCATTTGTAATTGTTCTTTCATCTAGAAACATAAATCAGTAAATAAACTAAAGTGCATCTTTCTTAGAGAGTTTAATGCTGAGCAAACCCACTCAGCAGGTTTAGTCAACATTTTCTTAGGGTAACCTTTCAAGTTAACAGTGTCAATAACTGAGATTTCTATAGCACCCAATTCTAGGCACTGACTTTTATAGCTAGGGAAAACAAACTGATCTTTCCAAAGATTTTTCAATTAAGACACAATAAACAAAATCCTTTTACATGTGAACTTACCTTTTCTTCCTTGAACTTGGAGAGCAAGACAAATTACAAGAAATATTAATCCAGTTTTCAAATGCATGCTGACAGTTCAGAACTTCTAAGGATTGCAGGAAATGCGACTGGTTTAGACTAACAGATTTCAAATTCCCAACTTATATTTTTAAGAAAAAGTCCAGTAGTTTGCCTGAGATTCAAAACAATTCAAAGAGTGAAACAGGTACCAAAATACAGTTACTGAATAAACTCCTCAATCACACAAACTTGTAATCCAGGAGACTGAACAGGGGACTGATCTGGTAAACTCCTAAATGTGACAAGAGTGACGAAGTTTAAAAAAAGAGAGTGTCTGTTTCTGGAATAATCTTTTGAGCTACTGCTCAGACATAATCCCTCTTATGGTCCAACTGGAAGAGCTGTCTTCATCTTCTTAATCTTCTGGAGTGGCATATGCCAGCTCCAAAAGACTTCAGTAGCACCATGATAAACAACAGAAGCCTCTTCTAGTGGTCACTACCTGTAAGTTTTGGTCATTTGGGCATTCCAGTAATATGGCATGTCAGCAGAAGCATTGTAACATGTTAGGGCTAGCTGATTATATATTTTTTTGAAATGTATGACCCTAAAAAATGGTGAACTTCCTTTTAAGAAGATGACTAATTGCTTGTCTGAAAGAACTGTCTGTATGAAGTTTTTCAGCAGTGTTTGACTTGGAAGCTCTTCTGTTTCCTCGCATCCAAAAAATTGCTTTTGCAATATTCCTATAAGTGCTATGATGAGGGATCATCCAGTTTGTTAGACTGATAAATGTCATGACTCAGTAATAAATTGCTGTAGAAATCAAGGACTGGAACAATTTGATTCCAAATGAGGAATTGGGACGGGGGAGGGTGGTTATAGAGGAAATAAGAGGTGGAGGAGGGAAAATACATGCAATTTTTTTACACTTTTATAAATAAATACATAGTAGGCCTTTTGTTATATTTATGTTCTGTATGTGCTACTTTACAAAATGCTCTTGAAAACAAAGTTTTGTTATGGGTGGGCACAATAAACGGGTGGGCACCGTATGTTCTATGTAGAGATTTATGTGGTAACCATACCATACAAATAGAGGCTATCTGCTGGCAGCAAGAATCCTTCTAGCTCTGTGTGTACAAGTTGCTTTAAGAACAACCTTCATTTGAACCTGGTCAGTGTTCTATTTTTACCTAGGATTTAAACAATTGCAAAAGAAAACAAAGATTACCCTCTTCTAAGCACTTGGAGCAATTAGCATGGGACATCACTGGAACCTAAATTTGACCTACCTTTCTTTTTTCCCGTATCTATTGTTAAAACCCATAGTTAATGTTTATGTTTTAAGAGTAAAAATTTCAATTGAAACAAAGAAATCCATGTCATCAACATGATGCAAATAAATGATGTGGATGACCTGGATTTATATTGCAGGACATTTGCATGGAAAAGCATTCTTTATCTTCTGCACTAAGATTACACCTCCCATATTTGGACTGAGATGCTTTTCAAACTATAATCAAACCTATCATACACTCTTAGGAGCCAGCTAAATTTTAGCAAACCTTATTTAAAAAGTGGATAAAATGAGAGAGA